AGCACGCCCGCCAGGTAGAGCAGGCTGATGCGGAGCAGACCGTGCACCATCTCCAAGGGCACCCCGATCATCAGCTGCAGAAGGGCGTTGAACCCCAGCTGCTCCAGCCTGGCCGCGCAGGAGCAAACAGGCACCAAGGAGTCAGCTGTCCAGCCCACCCGCCCCAGCCCTCACCCCCTGGGCTGAGCCTTTCTGGCTTACTGGGCGGGGGCCTGGGTGGGCTTTACAAGCCAGCAGCCCCACTCACCCGACGTGCATGAACATGTAGGTAACAAAGCACCAGGCGCGGGCGCGGTGCCCGGGGTGATACACCAGGGGGCTCTTCATGTACTCGGGGTGGTAGGTCTGCAGCACCCACTTGTTGAGGCGGGCCCCATAGCACAGGAACACGATGATCTGGGGACACGCGTGTTAGGGCCGGTCAACGCCAGGCACACAGGAGGCTCCCGGGACAGCGGCTGGGCAGGCCCACCTGGGCAAGGGTGACCGAGGCCATGAACACAGGGGGCGGGCAGCTGCGGTGCCGATAGAAGTACCAGCGGCGGTCCACCTCACAGGGCAGGATCTCATAGGCCACGTAGCGCACAAACCGCTTGTAGACACCCAGGCCTGGCTCGTCCAGCAACCCGTCCCGGGGCAATGCCCGCTGTCCATTGGCGATGGCTCGCTTAAAGCTGCTGGAGCGCTTGCTGCTGATCTGAGGACAGGGCATGAGCATGGACCACGTGCCCCCCCCCACCCTGTGACACCACCATCCATGGGGACCACCAGCTCCCACATCTGCAAGCCCTGCCCAGTGAGGGGCCGCCGACCACCCCTCCTGTGCCAGGCCTGCCCTTGCTGCCCGCCCGTACACCATGGCACTGACCAGGTCCACCAGCTCCTGGTAGCAGACTTGGCCCCGCTCATTGCTCTGGGCCAGGGCCACCAGCATGTCCAGCTTGGCTGGGTCCAGGGGCAGCTCATGGCTGTGCACCAGGCCGGCGAAGGTGTCTGCACCGATGAAGCCTGTGTTCTCAGGGTCCAGCTGCTGCAGTGGGAGCCGCCAGCCAAGGCCTGAGAGCCGGCCGACCCCTGGACCCCAGGTGGGGCCAGGTGGGAGGGAGTGGGAGCTCCAAGCACTTTTGGTCCCCATTCTGTATCAGCCTGGGTCCCGGGAGGTGCCAAGTGCCCGCGTCCCAGTCCTCCAGTTCCTCCTCAGCGCTCCCGCCTCACTTCCACCCTGCCCATCCTGGAAGGGGAGGGCCAGGTCTCAGAGCAACCGCCCTCCCGCCTCCCGGAGCCCTGGGCCGTCAGCCCTCTCACGGGGTCTCCAGCACAGGAACCAAGGTCGTGCAGAGGGAGCCAGGGAGGGGCGGGTGCCCGGCAGCCTCTCCGGGG